GGGGTATCCTCTAGCTACTAAAGATCAATGAGCCAGAAAGCCGGGCAGCCTGCCCAGAGCCACACTCATCAAGGGGAGAAAAGGTATATAAATCAAAGAAAGCCAGCCACTGTTACCGAACTCACTCCCACCTTCACCCTGACACTGACAGCTTCACACCAGCCCCTCGAGGTACGGGGCTGGGAGGAACAGGAAAGCGAGTCAGGACCTGAAAGGGCATCTGGCTGCCGGAGAAAGCAACGGGGGATGAGGGGCCCTTCCGCGGGAGAGCTGCAAAGCAGCCATTTGCAGCCTCTCTTGCTCTCGTGCACCCTAAAGCATTTTGAAAATCTATGTGTATCCTTTTGCGTAAGTTCAACATCGGCAATTTTTCAACTGTAAGTTAAAATAGTTGCAACGAGTACAGTTTCTGGTGTATCATAAATAATTGCTTAAACTATTAAGTCACTCATATTGCATCCAATGGGATTCAAACACCATTGCAATTAAGACATCTAACGGCATCTAGTTAAAAATGCAAATGTCTACTTAATAGTCAGAAATTTCTTCTTGAACTTGTATTTCCCTTTCACTCGTCCAACTAGAATTTTACACCCCCCCCCACAAATTTTACCCTAATGTGACATATTTTTAGTCTTGAAAGTCTTATTGATCACTTATAATTCTCTGTAACATTAAAATTTAAATTTGGTTAAATTTTCTGTGACCATAAAGCTCTAAGTGTTAAAAAATATTTTATCACGAATTGCACTACAATTCGTATGTATTTGATCAAAACAGAATATAAATATTGGTAATTATTAAATATGAGCAAAATTTTATTCAAAATGCATCCCAATTAGAGGGGAGGGAGATGGTTCAAGTTTCCATGGGTGAATTTTGGTAACTGTTAGATAGTTTCAGCACCAATTCTGTTCCTTTTTAAAATTTCTACAGATATTAAGCACTGAGAAACCTTGCTCTCATAAATTAATATGGGAATGGAAGTTTTGTAATAGCAGTATCTCTGAATTCTTTGAAATCCTGAATTATACACCAAAAGTAATAGTGATCTATTACCAAAATTATTTTTAATGACTAACAACACCTCAGTTGTTTCCTCCTTCAACTGGGTTAAAAGCAAAGACTCAGAAAACCTGTAACTTGCAAAAACAATTGGTGAACCAGTCATTAGAGCTAACATTCTCAGCGTTACCAGTACTTGGCATTGTCTCCATGGGTGCCCCTACTCCCCCGCCACCCCCAGGGGTGGCTTTCATTCTCCAGGGCAAGCCTCCGTGGCCTGACGAGAATGGGCGAGGGCTCCCTCCCCCTCAGAGCGGAAGCAGGCTGTAGGGCATCCTGGAGCCAGGTGTGCTCTCAGGCTGCACAATTTTCAAAGTGTAATGGAAGCTAAGGACCTAAAAATGACTGCCCTGACACTAGTAAGTTGGCTGGGTACCCCAAGGGACCCTCCTACCCCCAGGGGTACGTGCACCCCGCCCACTCTTGTAAAGTTGTAAAGACCAAGCACTCAGCCTGGAGAAGGCTATGAGGCAGTGTCCCTGTTTACAGCCTCTCATCCCACCGGCAGTAACAAGGAGGGCGGTCCCTCGGGGAAACAAACCAACCTGGCAAGGGTTCAAATTAAGTGCTTAGATGGAATAATCCTCTGAGAATATAGTAAGCGGCTCAGAGTCATCAGTTCAGACCCAGGAACAGGCCCACCTGAGCTCCTTCTTTGCATTCCTCACAGCCTGGCACCAGTGGGGGACACCTGACCCAAAAGTCGGGGGCCAATGATATTCTTGCCCCTAAATTTGGGGCTGACTGCCAGTGGCTGCAAAACCATTTCTTACCAAATGTGAGGAGAAACAGAGAAAGCTGCTCCACGGAAACAGAGAATTAGACAGCCACACAGCCAGGCGAGTGGCAAAAAGGACAACCACCTCAGTCTCAAAGGTAGTCCCTGCGAGGCCCACTGCACTCGGGTTCGGGAGGAAGCCCCTTTCTGCGGAGGCTGGTGCAGTGAGTTTCCGGTACCTGCAGTGGGAAGGCGTGCAGTGCACACAGGAGGCAGCAGAGACGGCTCCTCGGGAAGTCGGCCGGAGGGACCCATCGGTTACGGGATTACCAAAAACGCACAAGCTCGAACACAAGCAGGCAAAGAACATGAATAGATAGTTCCCCCTCCCCCAAAACAAATAAAGCTTACCTTTAAAAATAAATTTAAAAGATTTTAAAAATTAAGAATTTTAAGTAAAAGAAAGGTATTCAATATCACTAATTACACTAAAAAGGCAATTTAAACCAAAGAAATGTTATCACTTACCAGACTGGCAAAGGAGAAGAGGAACAGGCTAGGCAGGAACACACATCAGCACCGTCTCTTGAGTGAGGAATAGCTACCAAAATAGGGAATGTACGTTCTCTTCGCCTTTTAAGTCTCACTTCTAGACATTATCCTACAAATATACTTCAATAATATAAAAGGTGACATAAAAAGATTATACATTAAAAGTGTTTGTAAAAGCAAAAAATATGAGACTAAATAATCATCAGAAGGACACTAGTTAAATAAACTCCAGTAGATTCGTAAAGTGGAATACAACACAGAACAGTATAGCAGAGGGCAATCTCCAACTATTTAGGCAAAAATAAAACAGGCAGAGAAGGAAAGTGCGCCTATGTACATGAACAGAACACACCTGGAAGCACACAGAGGAAACTGGGACGGAGAAAGCTACAAGGTCAGCATGGACGCATCCTGGGGGCCAGCAAGTGAGGAACTGCTCAGACTGACGGGGGCATGTCAACAGGACACAGGGACCAAATTTCGGCTGAATTTGAGCATCGGAATGAATGAGAGAGGTGGTTATGCCACTGAATGAGAAAGCTGCACCAAAGGCTTCTAAAAGGGGAGAACTCATCCTCATGGAAAAATGTCACCATTGTAGGAGGAATTATTGAATAGAAAATCACTTTTTTACAACCACCTCAGAAATAAATGATTAAAAAAAAATCACCAATGAACACGAACACTGGGTGCAAAACTACTGAAGGGAGGATATTCCCAGTCTCAAATATCACCTCACAGGTAATTACAAAGAGGAAAAGGTATCTTTACAAGGGAGAAATCCGATGGACATCGTAATTATCTAATTCAAGTCACTGATACTGGGACAAACTGGTATCAAGTACCACCTGATATAATAAGGATACCACACCATATATGAAGATTTCTTGACAAAAACGTTTAACTTGAATCCAATCATAAGGAGACAAATCCACATTAAAAGATATCCTGCAAAACACTGGCCTGAACTCCTCAAATAGGTCAATGTCATGAAGGACACTGGGACCTGTTCTGGGTAATAGGAGACTACAGGATGTCACAATTATAAGCAACGTGTGATCCTTGAGTGGATCCTGAACCCAGAAACAAAAACAAAAACCAACTGCTGGTAGAAAGTTAAATATGTAGTTACCATATGACCCTGTATTTCCACTTTTAAGTATATACCCAAGAAAAATAAAAGGATTATGTCCACACAAAAACTTGTACACCAATGTTCATAAAAGCATACATGACAACCAAAAAGTGGAAATAACCCAATGTCCATCAACTCATGAACAGATAAACAAAATGTGGTATCTCCATATAATATTATTCAGCTTTAAAAAGGAATGACGTACTGATATATGCAACATGGATTAACCTCAAAATCATTACACTGAGAAGCCAGCTACACAATATCATGTATTGTATGATTATTTTATATGAAATGCTCAGAGGAAAAAAATCTGTAGAGACAGAAATTAGTGGTTGCCTCGGGGTAGGAGGCAGGGTAGGGAAGGGGGCGACTGCTAATGGGGTGCAGGGTTTCCTCTTAGTGTAAGAAAAAATGTTTTACAACTGATTTGCAGTATTGGGGGTGGAGGGACTGAGCAAAAAAGAAAAAGGACTCATGGACATGGACAACAGTGTGGTGACTGCTGAGGGGAGAGGGGTATAAGGGGACCACATGGTAATGGGAAATAAATACAATAAAGATTAAACAAAAAAAGTAAAAAATAAAAAATGATTTGTGGCAATGGTGGCACAACTCTGAATACAGTAAAAACCACTGAACTGTACACCTTAAACAGGTGAATTGCATGCTGTGTGAACACAATAAAGCTGGTATTAAAAAACGTAACTTGAACAACACATTATTAGGAGACCTGGGGAAAATTTAGTATAGACTATGTGTTAGATTTTAGTATTGTTATCAGTGTTAAATTGGGTGTGACGACTACATTATATCCTTATCCTTAGGACATGCTGACTAAAGTACTTATGGCTGAATCATAATTCTACAGCTTGATCTTAAATGATTCAGCGAAAGCCAAATGTGCACGTGTACATACACTGTGTGCCTGTGTTTGTGAGGAAGCAAGAAAGAGCGAAGGTGGAAATATATTAATAGCTGGTGATCTAAACAAAGGGTGTACAGCTGTATTTTGTATTATATTTACACTGCTTCTGTAGTCTGAAATTTTTCAAAATAAAAACTTGGGGGAAACACCAAAGAAGAATAAAGTTCATATTTGTACAAATAATGGCTTCCTAGGCTGTAAGAATGCATTGTTTCAAATCTGATTTTATCCTCAGTAAGAAATCATTTTTCTTTGCTATGGCAAGATACAGACCACCACTTCATATAGAATAAAATTCCACCTTTTCTCAGCGTTTATGCAGGGCCGGTGAGCCCACCAACTTGTGACAGCACCAGAAATGAATGTCTGAATGAGCTGGGTGTCACCCACATGTGCCGTGCAGGGCTGGCAGGTCTCCTGCGAGGCACCACATGGGAATCATCCATTTGCCATGAGCCTTCTACTGCTTGACTTTGAGGGACCATTTTGTAAAGATTATGGGGTACCAAATTAGAAGGAAAGAAATTAGACTCAGGCTTAAAATGCTTCTACTATTCTGAAATTACTTTGAAAGGTCATTTAAAAAAACTCCAAACTTGAGATTTTTCATTCATGTATTTATTCCACAATCAAAATAAATCATGATTTAAAAGTCATAACATTTTTAAAAGGTAAAAGAGACTGCGTCACAGCTTCATTAATAAAACAGACATTGGTCTAAAATGCAACACTAAACAAGTGTTCTGTTCCCATGGTGGAATAAATACATAATAATTACACATAAAATATATTAAAGATCTGAGATGAGGCAAATAACCCTTTGAAATGAACTGCCCGATGAACAGAGGCATGCTGCAAATAATTTCTATTAACATTTTACTGCAAGATGGAAAATCCCCAAGGTAGCTACGAATTCAAACCCCTTATATTTGACGCACCTGGCCCTGGCTTTCTTTTGTCTTCCTTCCTCAGACACATCCAAATCAGGGGCTTCCGCACCCCGTGCTCCAAAAGGCCACCGGGATACGCCGTGCGGACCTCAGCCCAGACTGCCGTTAATGAGCCTGTCTGCAGCCTTCGCCCCAAGCCTCCAGGGAAGCCAAGGGCCCAGACGCAAAGAGCAGCAGCGTTTCTTTGAGCAACACTTTTAACTGTTGTATGAGCACTGACAGGCCATGTGCATTTCATAAACAAACCAATATACTGTCTTATTACCATTCTGGTTTTTTTTCTTGCAGAAATGTTAAGGTCATTATTTACAGAAACAATACAAATTCAAAGCGTTTATGCCAAAAAGCAAACCAGTCCTTTGCAACCTAACTCATTTGTTTCTGGGCCGTGAAGCCAGGTAGAGGGCGATCAGGCAGTAGATGGTCCCCCCCACTGTCAGCGCCACGGTGGTCCGGTAGAGCGTTTGGTCAGGCAGGCCTCGTTTCAGGTGGATGGGCACACCGTCCAATTTCTTGAAAGAAAGAATTATCACAGATACGGTTGATAAGAAAAGGATTTATAATGTAGGCTAATAAAGAAAAATGTCTCTACTTTATAACTAATCCATCAACACATTACAGTGGCAAAAGCCCTAATCCATTAAAATGCTAATTAAAATACTAGTATATTTTCTTATAAATGTAACTAAAGCTTGTAAGTCCAAAGTCATCTCTAAAACATAGCCTCATAACAGATTCCAAATTTCTAAGGAATTTATCACATTGCTTAACTAGGAAAGAAGCCCTGGTGAATTTTTTTAATGTAATAGTACCCAGCAGCTAACCAAAGAACTATAGGCACAAGAAATGCTCTACATTTAGTTTGACTTCCTGACCATTGGTGGATGAAGTCTGAGCACACGAGGTCAGTTAATAGGTTCTAATCCGGTTTTGTACTCAGCTGCCTTCTTTCCATTAAGCTGTTAAACCCCTATTTAACAATGAGACTCCATAGAATGTTTAGTCCTTTATTTTGCACAGTCTCCAAAATCCCTCCCCACTGACACTCAAGATCCCAGATGCCCACTCAAGACTTACTTATCAGCTAATAAGGGATTAAACTGATCCAAAGTCCCCAAGCCAGTCCTGAATCTGGACATATTTTTGAGGAGGGAAAAGCTACCTTCCAGCAACAATAACAGGCGCTACCTCTCCCATGGAACCTAAGACATAGTTGGGTCACTGACCTCTCAATTATCTCTATACAGATTAATGTTAACAATATTTTTAAATCCAATTTTGGCTTCTCTCTGTTGGTCAGCAAATCCAAGGGAGCCTCTTCCGCTTCTAGCAACAGCTCAGAGGATTTTAATATCATGGAGGCAAAAAACTTGTAGGAGAAAAACCAATGCCAAAAGTCACTGAATGTGTCACAAAGCCAAATACATACAGGATTATTCACAATGCTGTTATACATTATACATTCTACTGCTTCCTCCATCCAATATATGCAATTTGAAAAGATGCGTACCCTCAAATACTGATGAGGAAATTAATCACCCTCTCTCTTTCACAGTTTCTACCTACACAGAGTTCTACTCATTTATGGCACAAACTAAAATCAAGAGAAAAAGAGAAGGTGAGTAGTAAACTAGATTAAGGCTCGGTTTCAAACGTTTTTTTCAAACCTATTTATTTCACAGACTTCTCTGTTTTAGAGTGTCTTCTCTCACCTGGAAAAACTTCTGCAGTTCTGGAACTTTGTTTTTCCCAGCATAATCATATACAGTATAATCGGAAGTCAGTTTAGTTGGTGTGGCAAATATGATAGGCGGTGCTTCTGTGGAAACCACAGGCTTTAATCCCTGCAGGAAAAAAGGAAAATGTCAAGTTGAAAGTATGTCTGGCCATCTGAACAAGGCTTTCAAGGGGCAGGCTGTCTAAAATAGCAGAGGGAAGGAAACCACATGAGAGGGAAGGAAAGTCCCTCCAACTCCACGTTTTAAGGTCTTTAATTTTTTAAGTTTAAAGTCTGTAAACTTTCAACAAAGCACTCTAGTCTACTTTCCTAGAACAACCCTATCAAGAACTCCCTGCAGTTAAGAAGGAGGAGAGGGAAGGAGGGCTTATAGGGAGACAGGAGCAAACAAAGGCCCAATCTGAGCTTCTAGAAATAACCTATTGTGTCTATCTTTTTATCAAACCAGGAAAATATTTATAATCGGTATGAACTTTGGTTTGATTTCAAGAGACCTGGCTGTCCCTTGTCTTCTCTCGGTGATCGGATGGACTAACACAGAACCTGTAACCTCAGAGGACTTCAGATTCTTTCCAGACACAGTCTGGAAATAACTCAATCTGGAACAACCTATAATGGTAAAAGACTTGTCTTTCCAAACCAGCCCAAATTAATAAACATAGGTGTCAGACCCCTGGTTCCTGGTCTCTTCAAAGAAATCTAAATTTACCTATAATTGACAAAACCTATTCTAAAAATAAAAATATTGAAAACCTCAATGTTACTCCCACCAGGCAGGCTTTAGGATCAAGAGGGCAACAAAAAGTAAACTTGGTTTCTTTTTCTTCAGACACAGTCCAATAAATGGGACTGAATCACAGCCTTTACTCTGTACTGCATTTACTCATTCACATGTATTACTGAGCACTTACTCTATACTGATAATACACAATGAATAAAACTGATACAATCTCTATTATGGATATTAATATTATGGAATAACAGCAGCCAGTATCTGAGCCTTGCTGTATATCCAGTGTCGTGTTACTTTAAGCATTTCACACACATTATCTCATTTAATCCTGACAGTAACCCTAAGAAGATGTTACTATTCTCTTTTTACAGACGAGAAAATTGGATCAGAGAGGGTTACGTGCCCGAGATCCCATGGCAGAGAAACAGAGCCAGGTGTCAAAACTCAGGCCTCTCTAAAGCCCAGAGCCTTGGATTTTAAATATTTCACTACCTGCATGGGCCACTGCCCCTCAACTATTACTTAAAACAACAATCCATTTAAAGAGAAAGTTTGGTCAATAAGGTATTAGCTTACACTTGGTACGTAAGTAACGCCTTCAAACAGACTCAGAAGGAGTCTGAGATGGGAAGAGGGGACCCTAACTACTGAGATAACAAGGCTTAAAAGGGTATCTCTCTGAAATGGAGAACTATACACACTCCCTTATTCTGTAAGCAATTTGTTTTTTCTCCTAATAATCATTTCCCCTTGAATGAAAAAATTTAAAAACCCTTCCTACCAAGCACCTCCAAAAATGGTTTGAAATTAAATTCATGTTTCGACAGGACTACATGTGAAGGCATTTTCAGACAGCCATTATACCTAATTGCTTTGTGTATGTTCACCCACCAAGTGATTTGAAACCACAGCAAAGGTTTTGAAGGGTATCATCTGAAAACAGTAGTATCAACCACCCTAACAATTTTAAATAATTTCATATTTCTATTTACAATATTTCTAATGTTTCCCTCACATCTCACACTCCTCTTGTCCAAAATTCACCCAGTTTCTCACAAGTCTACTCAGGAGCTTTTTTTCCGTGGAAAGCATCCTCCTCCTCCCACTTCCCAGTCATCTTGGATTCCTCTTTCTTCATCCCCAATACCTCCCTCATCGGTCGCTAAGTCCTCATCTCCCAGATCTGACTCTCCATTCCTACTCAGAAGACCCTGAACTATTTCATGGTCCAACAGGCCTCCCCGACACTGGCCTCTCCCAGTTAAATGTATATTGTCAAAGGACAGCTCCATAAACCTTTCATGAAACTAAGGGTTAAGAAGCATGTCCTTCTTTCAACCTCTGGACAAGACCCTACCACAACTTACTAAGATGCTTTGTAAATTCCTACTCATTTCTCACCAAATCAAGTTCTACACCCTAGGCCATTCATGATTTACCGCCATCAGCCACAACCAAAATTACTCAATGATGCCTCTGTTGCCCCTTCCCTCCATCGCTCAGTTCCCTTTACCTGGAATATCATTCTGCCAGCTTAAATAGGAGAGGAACTGCTAAGTCGTAATGTAAAATTAAGTTTCACTTTTTTAACAAATTGCCAACTGGTTTCCAAAATGGTTACACCATTTCACATTCCCCAGCAGCAATGCACCAGGCTGCCAGTTTCCGCCACATTCTCACCAACACCTGTGGTCTATCTTCTTGATTTTAGAAGGTATAAACTAGTATCTCATTGGGGTTTTGATTTGTATTTCCCTAATGATTAATGATGTTGATCATCTTTTCACATGTTTATTAGCCTCAATTTGATGGCACCGCATGTAAAGGTAAGGAAAATGCTTTTCAATCAACCACCGGAAAATAACCGCCACAATCACTTGCCATCAAGTTGATTTATAAATCTCTATGAACACTACTGTTAAAGAACTAGCCCTGGATGGTGGGGCTCAGTGGACTGAGCACTGGCCTGTAAACCAAAGGGTCACCGGTTTGATTCCTAGTCAGGGCACAAGCCTGGCTTGCAGGCCAGGTCCCTGGGTGGGGGCGTGTGAGAGGCAACCAGTCGATGCAGCTCTCACACATCAATGTTTCTCTCCTTTCCCACCTCTCTAAAAGTAAACAAATAAAACCTTAAAAGAAAAGAACTATCTTTTCCTTACAAGGTTACTGCATGTATGTTCAATTATTTAATGCACTTTACATAACACTGAAAGTTACAAATGTCTACATTTTCCAAACCAGAAGTCAGAACACCTGGTTTGGGGGATGCCCGTCGCGATCACTCTGAAATCTACAATTCATATACAGCCTACAGGTTACCACTTCTTTAAACGTAACTTAAGAAATCCATACACAACTAAGAAGTTCAAATTCTCAAGAGAAACACAATTCAAGAGGTGCTAGAAACCTGAAAGCCCTAGCTGTACCAAACACATTTCAGGGTAATCTCTGCTCTGACCGCCAATTCATTTGCGGTTGTTTCGTTTAATCTAAAACTTCACTTTTTCCTCAATAGGTAACAAAACCTAAGTTATGCTAAAACTCTACTAAAAGAACATCTCCAACCATCAACACAATAGATCAATTGTGATATATTCATGTAATAAATCCTACACAACACTAAAAGAAATTGACTAATACATGTAACATGAATGAACTTCAAAAATATTGAGGAAAAAGACACAAAAGAATACTGTGTGCTTCCATTTATACAAAATTCAAAAGCAGGCAAAACTATACTGATAAAAGAAAGAATAAGGAGGTGGACAGGGATTGGCAGGGCAAAAGAAAGGAAACATCAGTGTGTTAAAACTCAGCAAACTATAAGATTTAAGATCTGTACACTGAAAAATGCTTCCTTTCTAGTAGAATATAATAGAAATAGCTATTTTCCTAAAATCTGTAAAAGAAATCACTGCAAACAATTCCTTCTTTAGACCTACGTACCAAATTGGTTTCAGTGACACCACACTGATTTCCCTTCTTATCTTGGACTGTTCTTTTAATAAATTTTCCTGCTCCACCCTCCTTTCATGCCTCTGCAGTCTAATTATATTCCCACCTTTCTCCCCTATATACTCCCTGTTGATCCACCACCACCAGATTCTGTTACAACCTATGGGCTGAAGATACCCAGATCTATTAAACTCCATATTCACAAATCCTGCTGTTACCAGGCATATCACAAGCTCAACATTTATAAACTTAGACCCTTTCTCCCCAACCCCCCCCCCCAAATTTTCCCTTCTTCTTGCCCTCCCTATACTAGTTAATAGCACATTTAATCTTAAATTGAAATCATCCTTAAACATCCTCCTTCTGGGGCAAGTTGCAGTGTCCCACAGGAAAAAAACACGTTAACACTGAAGCATCCTTTAGACCCTACTTGGGTCCCTTACTATTACAGTCCATTTTTCCAACTGCTATCTTATCAACCCTTCCCACACCACTCTATGACGATGAGAAATGAATATGGTGGTAGCTCAGACTCAGCTTCCGGAGAATAGCTACCACTTATCCAGTACCAACCACCTGCCAGAGACGGCCAGTCACTTGACACACACTTCATGTAATTTGTACTACAGCTGCCCTAGATGAAACTGAGCTCACAATAAGCTAAGTAACTTGGTCAAGGTCATAAAATAAAACAGCAAAGCCAGGATTTGGGCACAAATTAGGAATATGGGACTCTATCTAAAGTCCCCTCACCTCTACAACACAAGCTGGAGACTGAAACTCCGAGAGGCAAAACTTGAGTGAAATCGGAATACCTTTCGGACCACTCAAACAATAGGCATCTGTCAACCATTTTACAGTTGGGAAAGTGCAAACGCGTTGCATATACATACCCAGGCTCACCCAAACATTTCAAGGAAACCCGTTAAGTCTTCCAATTCTGATCATACAGCCTCCCCTGGCTCTACAGATTCCCCCAGAGCTGTCATGCCAGCTCTCCAATCTCGTGCTCGCGTGAGGCTGCCTTTTGGACAGCAGCAGGGGATGACAATGGGACAATGATGAGAGCGAAAGCAAGACCTCCTTTAAAAGGACAGGGTCGGATTTCGGGGTTGGTCGGGACACACTCTGGGCCCCGCCGACCCCACGAGACACCCGACAAACCACAAGCAACGAGTCCAAGGGTCACCTTGACCCCTGCTGAGTGCCAGGCCCAACTTCCGGCCAGGCTAGCTCCACCGGGGCAGCAACTACAAAACTAGGGACCTCCCTGGCCACCGCAAGTGGGTGCGGGGAGACGACGAAAAGTACGGGGCGAACTAGACCAAACCGTGGGCAGAAGCCTTGCCCGACTCCGGCGCCGCGACTGCCTGGCGAGGGGCGAGGGGCACCACTTCTCCTGTCTCAGCCGGCTCGGTGATACCCGTACCTGCGGGCTATACGCTTCGGAAGCCCATGCTCCCACCAACTTCTGCGTGAAGCCACTAAACTTGTAGTACATGATGCTTTGCGTCCGGCTACTCGCAGCCGCTGCCTGCGCGACCGCCCCGAGAAAGGACCCTGACTTCCCTGTGGTGGCCCCAAGGCTCAACCCAAGGACCTTGAACCAAAAGACAGGCTGCCCGAAGATCGCCCAACTTAAAATATGAAATTTTAAGACGCATAGAAGAATCCGGGTTCGCAGTTCCAATAAATGGAAAATCACCTCTAGGAGAGAGCGGAAAGTCGCCATAGCGGGCTCTGTAGAAAATACGAGGTCCCCTCTTTCCCTACATTTGGATTCAGGCAGTGCCAAGAAGACCTAAGAAGTGCGCAAGCGCCCTGCGGACCAGGCCAGAGGATGAGGGACCTGCCTGGATGGAGTCGGGCGGGCCATAGGCGGGGCCTAGGGCGGGAGGGGCGGGGCCTAGGGCGGGAGGGGCGGGGCCCGGGCGGGGCCCAGCCAGGGCGACTACTCTCCTTTGAAGGGGATAGTCAGTGCTACGGGGCCTCAACCTGGTCCGTCGAGTAGAAGGCTTCTTTCTCTTTACCAAATTAACTTGATTGTAGTCTCATTTCTTTCCTCCTCTACCTGCCGCCTGGCTCTTACTCAATCAGCCCAAGAAGTAGATACCCATCAGCAAGGCTTCTCCGGCAGCCTGGGAGTAGGGAGCTAATAAAATTTGGAAGCACCTGCTGGGAGCTGTTTGGTACAGAGGGCTCTTAGGGGTTTCGCCCCAGTAATATAAAGATAGCCTCCTGGGCTTTACGTAGAAAAAATGCTTAGTGACCTAAACTTCAGGCACCAAGATGTAAATTCTGCAGTTTTTCAGAACTAGTTTTTATTTACTTGAGTTTTATGTGAACTGGTTACTCACCCTTTTCTTGGCCTCTGCCGTTTGAAATAAATGAGGTGGAGAGTGGAGGCAAATGGACTAGAAATACTTGACAAATCTGGACCTTGAGCCTGAAAGATTCGGGACTATAACTTCCCGTTCCAGTAGAATTGACTTTCGTTCAATTTAAACACATTTTTTGAGCCTCCACTATGTGCAACGTACTGTATAAAAGGAGTATACTAGTTTCCTACCTATAGGGGTGGAGCAAGACTTTTCTTAGCTTTATCATCTAGCCAGAGTTTTTCACAAGCATATTATAGGTTCATTTATTGTGCACTTATGAAATTATGTGGCAAACTTGATGGGTGATACCCCTATATAACATTTTCCACAAATCAACTCATTTAATCCTTAAAACAATCCTATGAGGTAGGTGCTATCATTATCTCCATCTCGCAGTACAGGAAAATGAGGCCCAGAAAAGTTAAGTATGCTGCTCAGGGCAGCTATTAGTTAGTGGAAGAACTAGTCTTCTGATTAGAGTCTGTACTCTTACACACTGCATTATACATAAATAGGTATAAATCAATTCTGAGAAGAGGGGTATGAAGGCTGAGGACTCCAGAACTAGGGTGTACACCGCATCCCAGCTTTGGCAGGTGTAAACCCAAGAGCCCGATGTGTTCAGCAATGCCAGTGCTCTGAAGAGCAAAGGTTTCAGCTTCTTTATATGATCAGCCAATCCAAAGTTGCTGCTTTTACAAAGCAGTATTGTGATACAATGGAAAGAAAATGGCGATCTGGGTTTGAATCACCATTTTCTCAAGGCTGAGTGATTTACAACTCAGTCCTGTCCATTTTCTGAGCCTACTTGCCTCTTACGTAAGTAGTAGTAGTTATCATAATATTGTCCCTCCCTGGTGTTCTGAGAATCAACAGTTCAGTAGGTTTCAAAGCTTGCGCAAGTGTTATATTGCAAATCTTAACTTTGAGTCATTTTACTTTTTCATGGTTCTTGGCTATATATAAGAATCTTAGTTCACTTTTCTTGGTTACTCTCATTTTAATTAATTGATTGATTGATTGAATGTCAGAATCACTTGTACCAAGAAAAGGGAATGAGCTTGCTAGCAATTATTGAGTGGAAGAAAAGGTCTCTCATAGAGTTTAGATTGAAAAGAGAAATTAAATGATTTAGGATACCTCTCCATCTCCATCCCACTGTCTTCCAGACATGTTTTGAAAGAAGGAAGTAGAAAATATTAGCCAACTCTTCGCAGCACTAAGGTGTACCAGCTTCTCAAGGTACAAAAGTGCCTGTCAACGCTGGTTATTTTCTTAAAGTTTCTGCCATCTGATTTTAGATCCTGCAAGACATAAATTAAGAATCCTGAAAATGTTACAACAGCCAGGCTGTTCAGTGGGAGATAAAATGTCAGTAGCAGAGTGTGGGTTGGGATGTCACATGGAGTGGCTGATCAGAGGAAGATTTTGTTTCATTTCCCAAATAAAACACAGCACACTCTGACAGCACTGAAGCACCCTTTTCTCATTCTGATTTGCATATCCCACCCAACATCAAAGCAGGATCTTCCTTTAGATCATGATTCCTCCAGGTTGGACCCTTGATCCTATTTTGAGGGGAAGCGACCACAGTTCACAGTGCAGAGAAGCTTGTCAATCGCCAAGCGATTTGCGTGAGTGCAAATGCCAGCCTGGCCCAGGCGAATCTGCGCGCTGCTGCCGCTCTGTCTGGGAGGGCTGTGTGCTAATGGCCTCTGGCAGGCCACTCTGTGAAAGCTCTTGGGGCTGGAAGACCAATATAAATTGTAAACTGGGTAGTACTGCATGTAGATGGGAACTGCCTACTTGTGAAATAGTTTTTAATTTTTTTTAATTCTCAAACTGACTTTAAAAAAAAATTGACCTTTGGTGTGGCTGGTAGAGTTAAAGCCTATAGGCCCTGTAGTAGTTGAGGTGACTGTGGCCTCCTCTGTTTCCTCCAGTCCTTCCCTGTCTTCAGAAGGACTCATATGTCTCTTGGCTTTAGTGTCACCAGTTGGGAACAGAAATATGAATGATGAGCATTTGTTCTGTGCTGATTTACCATGTGGCAGGCATCTCCAGCATAGGATTCCAGGAAGCCCTGCTTTCCCCATCTTTACTGTTTCTTTGCTGCCAATTCTGCAAACCGAAGATCCTCCCTAACCTAGGGGAACATGTTTATGCATGTGGATTTTGCCCATTCTAAGGTAGATTCCCTGAAGGAAAACAGACTACAATAGTGTCACATTATAGTGCAGTATTATCTTTTCTATTGTGGCTTGTGTCTACTATCTCTTTGGCAAAAAAAGAAGGTAGAGGGAAAACATTTCCCCCAACATTTAAAACTGCTAGTAATATCCCCAAGAAAAGCATCCTCGGTAAAATATTAGAAAACAAAATGGTGCGCTACACGCACTTTATGGTTCTCAGAACAATGACACCTGTCATGCAATTATTCAGTAATTTTCATGTGGCAGAATTAGAGATCTCAGTTGTCATCTCTTATTCTTTTTGTCAAATAAAGCCCTATCTGGTGTGGAAATTTTAAGTTTGTCTTTGAAACCTGCAATCTAGGTTATATCAATATTGTTGAAAAATAATTAAGCCTTTGTTAAAGTATGATATTTTTATAGCAAAGGAGTTGAGGGTCTGAATGGTGCGTGTCTCACTCAAAAGAGGGGAAGTGGCAGCTGGGACTGCAGTTTCTGGGACAGCTTTATTGCAGTACGAGATGAACATATTGACATCAACTCTTTGCTCTGACCTTCTCATTGTTGAATGTCAATATGGTGTGTGAAGCTGCCTCACTTTTGCCTGCCTACTTTTCGTTATGTGCAAGTCAAAAGCACATCCACGGAGATTATGGATTTAACTCAATTTTGACACATCACACTTCATTTCACTGGTTAAGAAAGGCTGAGGTATGACTCATAATTTATTTTAAATCATTTCAAATACACTTGATTATGCTTTAAAAAATTTGAGATCCAGAACAAGAGTCATACAATTTTACATTAACATCCTCTATAAAAATATAGCATATATATTATAGAATGAAAGGATTAGCAGTGGCCTTCTCCAGTTTGGGGTCAAAGGGTGGTGCCTCATTACTGGAGATTCCCACTTTCTGCATCATATACATCTGAAATAGTAGAATACTTTGCAACAAGTATGTATGACTTTTGTAAGCCCATGTACATGTAAACAAATAATATAAAATCCCCAAAAGTCATAAAAATTAGAATTTAAAAATGTTTCCACATACTTACAACCCAAATTACCAATTAATTTAGAATATTTTTTAATCATTCCCTGTGCAGATGTAAGGAGACTATTGAGTGATAGTTTCCAAGTGTTAAGGCACAGGAAGAGTCACTCAAGGCCCCTTCTGCCCACCGGAGTTAACACTGTTACGGGTTCCTCGCCAAGCTGTTGAAGAAATGAGTGAATAAATGAGTCAATATGAATGAATGAACTAATGAACAAACGAGGGAACATCCTCTCTATACATTACTGTGGGAAATGAACAATGATCCTGGGTAATTATTTACCTGAGTTCTTTGAAATTGGGTGATCAAGTGGAAAAGGGGATTAAAAACCATACACCTGGGTCTCAAGAAAGTGAATGTTGCTGGATCGTTTTCTTCTGAGGTAGCACAAGTTTTTGTCTTTGGAAAAATCTAACTCTATCCAATATCAAAACATGGGTTCCTCCATAGCCATTGAAAGTCAATATGTCCAGATCCCAAGCCTGCGCTAGTTGTGTGACCTTAGACTAGTTTCTTAACCTCTCTTGGCCACTGAATAAAAATTTCAACTTAACACAGTGATTGAAAGGATTAAATAAGACAATAGAAAATACGTAAATATATAAATGTCTATGTGGGAAATAATATTCGGTAAAATAGTAAAGTGGGTCAAATATATGGTGATGGAAGATGAGTTAACTTTGGGTGGTGGGCACACAATGCAGTATACAGATCAGGTATAAGAGAAAAGAACACTTGGCCCTGGCTGGTGAGGCTCAGTGGATTGAGTGCCAGTTTGAAAACCAAAGGGTTGCCGGTTTGATTCCCAGTCAGGGCACATGCCTGGGTTTTGGGCCAGGCCCCTAGTAGGGGGTGCACAAGAGGCAACCACACCTTAATGTTTCTCTCCCTCTTTTTCTACCTTCCTTCCCCTCTCTCAGAAAATAAATGGATAAAATCTTTTTTAAAAAACTAAAAATGTAC